ACAAAATATACTTGTCTTTCCCTAGCTGGTGTGTTTCAGTTGGTTGGAGTATCATCCTGTGAACTGAAGGGTCATAAGTTCAATTCCCAGTCAAGGTACATGCTTATGTTGCAGGTTCAGTCTCTGGACCAGAAGAGAATGAGAGGCAACCAATTAATGTTTCTCCTTTACATTGATATTCTCTCTCTTTTCCCCTCTCTCTAGAATCAATAAGCGTGTCCTTGGGTGAGGATTACGACATCTTACATCTTACATGAGGTTAGAACATTATCCTTATGTGGCAAGGTTGTGGGTTCCAATCCTGGTCAGTGCACATACAAGAATCAACCAATGAATACATAAATAAGTGGAACAACAAATCAATGTTTTTTTTCTCTCTTTCCCTCCCTCCCTCTCTGTCTCTAAAAAATCAATAAATATTAATAAAAACATTGTAAAAAAGGATACTATTGACTGTAAGACACATTATTTTATGCACCACCAAGAAAAAACTGCTGCAAATGTAATCATTAAACTGTCCTCCAAAGATTTTAAAGATGTTAAAATGTGACAAAATATACCTCTTAGAATTGGTAAAATATGGCATTTTTTTCTCATGTAAAAAACCAGAGACATGGAAATAAAGAACAAACTGACAGTAACCACAGGGGAGGAGGGAGGGGGATAACAGGGGAAAGAAGGGGAAGGGTCAAGTCAATGAACATGTAAAAAGGACCCATGGACAAAGCCAAGAGAGGGTAGGATTGAGGGTGGGAGGTGGGGGTAAATAGGGCAGGGGAGAGTAATGGGGGAAAATGGGGACATCTGTAATTGAACAACAAAAAAGTAGGTCCAGAGGCAATCAGTTTTTTGGTTGCAAGATGGCTACTCAGCTATAGCCATTCAATCCTCATTTCTGGGAGAATTAAAGGAGAAAATAGGAAAGAGGAAAATACCTTTTATTCTACCATGTTAATTTGTAAAATTATCCCCCCCAAAGGTGATTGAAATTTTTATTGGCATTGCACTGTGTGTGTAGTTCAATGTGGAGAGCAGTGCCAGGTGTCCAATATATTACTGCTAAGTTGTAGATTGATATGTATATTAGTCTCATTTCCATTTCATTAAAGGATGCATGTAAAAAAAGTTTATATTTGCATAGAAAATTTCTCAAAGAATACCTGAGAAACTACTAACAAGTGGTTATTTTAGGGGAATAGAATTGGGTGTGATTGGCCAAGGAGAAAGTGGTTTTAACTTTTCATATTATGCCCTCTACTATACCTTTTTTAAAAACCACAGATATTGTATATATTACTTTTATAATAATAAATATAAACCAGAAAGCTTAAGAGTGGAGTGTGTATTACCCAAGGGGTATAGAAAGACTTTCCATGGGGTAAATAAAAGCACTTAGAATTTCAAGCAGATCAATATCTACATCCTCAAATTTCATATTTTCTTAAATTGATCTGCCAGAAAACACATATTTTCTTAAATTGATCTGCTGGAGGAATCAAGCTGGTTCTCTTTTTTCCATCTCCCTTTTCACAACAGTCCTTTTTGCACTTTATAATAGAAAAGTGTATGTTACCCATCTTCAATGTTACCTGGGTGCACTGCCCTGTGGTGTAAAATCCTCAGGGTACCAGAGAGACAATTTCAAACAATGCTGTCAATGATGAAGAAACAAACTGTTATAACAAATATATGGGGTATCAATCCTTTTGTTAAGTTTGGAAGCCAACTTAGATGGCTTCCAATAAAATTGAAGGAGAACCCAATGTTGCTGTCAGCTGATAAATCATGAAAAACAATTTTGAAGATATATAATTGTGTAATATTGGGTTGGCCAAAAAGTCTGTTTAATGTTTTCCATAAAATAGAAAATATGCTTTTCATTTTTACCAATAACTTTACTGATTTGGATAATTTGAGTATGTCAGCTATCTGCTGCTACTGGCTTCCAATGGGTTAAAGGCCAGGGGTGCTGCTAAACATCTTTCAATGCATAAGACAGCCCCTTAGCAAAGAATTATTTGGCCAAAATGTCAGTAGTACCAAGAAACTTTGCAAACCACATTTGACATGTTCAATCAGTCAGAGCACCTTATCCATACACTGCACAAACCTTTTAGTTGCTTTTCACTTGAGGTTTTACCTTTCTTGAAGTAATAAAGCATAACATGCCAAAAATGTTGCGCATTTTCTTCCATCTTCAATATTAAAATGACTGCATAAAATTAACCAATTTTAATAAGTTTTAAAAAAATGTATGCTGATAAGACAGCTGTCACAATACAACCTAACAAAATTGTTTTGAATGAAATTAAAGACAACTAAGCACTACTGGAGCCATCATATGAAAAAAAGTAAACAAACTTTTTGGCCAACCCAATATTTCCCCCATACATGTCCAAAGGAATTTAAAGACTTGAGTGACATTTCTAAAACAAAATATCCATTCTCATAGACTTATTTATATAAACAAGGTTTCTGTGTGCTAAAGTCTAACAAAGCAAAAAGTAAGAAGAGAATTGATGTTGAATCTTGTCTAATTTTAGCAATAAGTAATATTTATCCATGGATATACCCACTAAAGTAAAACAAAGACTTATCTCTAATAATTATTTTGTTTTGATGTTTAACAACTACCTTTCAGATTTTGTAATATACTTGCAATGCTTTGATCCATTCTATTCTAATACTGTCATGATAACACAAGCAAGAGTAAATTTTTAAACAATACTTAGAGCTTCAGGATCATAGGAACATTAAAATATTTTTGCAAAAGGGAACTAGGATGATCAGTAAAACCATTTCAGGGGCAAAAATATATATTATTGGGACAAAATTCTTTTAGAGGAATAGGGTGGAGTTAACTCATTGAGAAAAGGGAAAATATACAACTTCCAACTATTAAAGAAGAGCCTGACTATGATTTTTATAACAGATAATGGTGGCTCTCAAATCACTAAGGTATTTAAGTTTCACTGGTTTCATGTGAAATCATGATGTAACAGTTTTGTGAATGTTAGTATTTGTCAGAAATCACATTATTTATAATTAACTGACATTTTGATGCAAAAATTTAGATGTCACAATTTGTAGTGCACGTTAAAATATTTTGGAGATTATTGTGATATACACCAATAGTTTTATATAAATGTTCGTAACAAAGGGAGTGTCATATACTCTTTTGCCACCTTGTGGTCAGAGTTGTGTTCAATCCCAGGCACTGTGACTGTGATGAGGAGGGGTCTCTTCTGAGGTCAGCCCCTTCTGCTAGCCTTTGGTTGGGTCTTTGTGAGGCAGAGGTGGTAACATTTGCCAAGGACTGAATCTAGACCCATACAAGCACTAAGCATCAAAAAGATTAAGTTAGATAACGCTCCAGGATTAGATCTATTTTCTCAAAATGAAATATATATACCAAAAACTGTAATCATTTAAGTATCCATTATTCCTGAGATCATATTCATGACTCACATATCTTTTAAGATCCAGTTCATTAACAAATTATAGAGAAATCTAATAGAATTGTCTAGTCAATTACATATGATATGTATTTTTCTCCCTGGTTATATTATATTGTGCTATTTTAGATACTACTTTTCAAATTTATTTTCTTCAAATCAAGACACAGTTAAAATAAAAAAGGAAATGAGAAAGAAAAAAAAAGATTATGCTGACACCCCTTGCATGTGATTCAGAGCAAAAGCAACATGCAATCAGGAAAGGAATGTAAAACACAACAGAATTCTGGCTTTTCCAAGAAGTACAACTTTTTAAAAAGAATGTCAAACTGTTTCTGATATTTTTCCTTGATTCTTCTGTTTTTGGCACTTCTCTGTTGTTGACCTAGACACTTCCTTGAGCTGCCTTTTGGAGAACCCGGACCTCATTGTGGCCCTGGGCAAGTTTGTATGGTTCAGTGCTGTGTCCACAGCTCCAAGTGTAACACCTGGCTCTGGGTGTTATGCATAAGACTTCCAGAACATGCTGGATCGGAGGGTTCTGCAGGAAGTTGATCAGTAAGGCAGTTGAGTTGCCATGGTGTCTTCAATGGTAGACAGTCCCAGGTACACAGAGATTTAGGTCTCTTTGATGTCTGTTTTTCTGTGGAGGTGGGATGAGAGTACTTCCTGTCCCTTTACCCATCCATGACTTCCATCATTTTTAGCAGGAACAGCAAGAACAAGAATCCTTCGGTGGGTGAGCTAGTTGCAGTTCCTCTAGTTGCAGGCCACAAAGGGCAGGATGTATGGGAAAGATGCTGTGGTGCTTCAAGGAATTGAAGCAAGAGTTGGATTACGAAGAGGAGGCACCAGGGCAGCTCTGGGGGCCTCAGTTGTATGGGCACCAGCCATACATCCTACCCTTCTTAAGGGCTCCTGATTCCTGACAACCAATTCATGCTGCTAACCCCTGGAGGCCTCCCTGAAGGAAGAGGCCAGGTGGAGGGGCAATGTCCATGGTAACCAAGAACTCTGCTAGAGTATCATTAGGCAGCACAGCCCCACAAGCTGGGCAGTGTGTACTGGGACAAGACCAGTGATCCCAGGAATCACGGACTGACTCTTCCTGGAACACATTCTCCCCTGATATTCCAGCACTGGCTATATACTTTTCATCTGAGCCCCATCCTGATGCCATCCCTTAGCTGCCCTACCTGGGACCAGCACCTGTGGCCACTCCATGACCTCATCCAGCATGCCTAAGACCTGAGCCACTTTTTCTGGGCTCAGCCCTCATGTGCCCCTAGTGCTGCTACCCATTGCCAGCAGCTCTTAGTGTGGGAGCTACCAGAGGTCCTCAGACCTAGGTCTTCCCCCTCCCAGCTCCCACCTGCTAGTGTATAAGGGTCCTGGGGTGGGGTCCTGTAGTTCAGGCCTCTCAGCCATAGGGGAGGTACTAACTGTAAGCATGGCCTTGTTGTGTCTGGTCTCTCCTGCTGCCCTCCTCGGGTTGCTCAACATCTGCTGGGCCAAAAGGCTGGCTGCCAAACCTTCAACCCACTCATGGCCTTGGGAGTCCAAGGAGGAGATGAGGAGGAGCAGGCACAGACTCTGCAGAGCGCCGATAAGATGGGCAAAGGGACGTGCCTCTTCGGCCCAGCGGCTTTGGGAGCTCTGCCCTTGGGAATCTGGTGTCCAGGCTTGGTCCAGAATGGATCTGGGGCTTCATACTTACTGGGCAGGGGGCAGAACCTGGGACAGGAGGGAAACCTGAGACTGGCTCAAGTGGCAGGCTCAGCCACAGAGATGTTCTGTCACAGCTTCTGACTGCGCTGCTCAGGACCCAGACTCTAGGGGACATTTCACAGTCCCAGAGGTGTTTCTGGACTTGGTTATCCCTGTGTCCCCAGCCCCACAGTGCTGGGGCAAGCCTCCTGGACCGAGGGAAGGACGAGGAGAAGGGAGGAGACGACGAAAGAGGTCAGAGCAGCGATTGGAGCCGAGAACTGGAAGCGCCTTAAAGAGACTGCGCGGTCCCCGCCCCCCTTCCCGCCAGCCTCAATGAATTAGAGCTGTGTTTCCCAAACTTGCCTGATCATAAGAATCCACTCGGGCCCTAGTTAAAGATACAGGTTCCCGAGAGCACCTCCCTTCGAGATTCTGATTCAGTAGGTCTGCGAGTGGAGCCGAGGAATCTGTAATTTTAACACGCTCCCCACGTGATTCTCTGGAACAAGCAAGTTTGGGAAATACTGAATTAAAGGAAACCGGGCCTGGCTGCAGAAGTGGCCTCCGCTAGGGGGCTACGGCGGGAGTATTCCCGGGGGCGTCGCCTGCTTCCGCCGCCGCCTCCTTGAGTGAAAGTCCCTTTTGGGTCCAGCTGCCACAGCCACGGTGCTCCCTCAGGCCGGGCGGGGGACACCCCAGGTCTGCGTGGCCCCCGCGCTGCCACGCCCAGTGGCCGCCCGAACCCGGGGAGCAGGGGGAGGAGCCGGGGCCAGTGGAGGCGGAGGAGATAGAAGAGGCGGAGACGGCGGAGACGGCGGCAGAGAAGGCGGAGAGGAAGGTGGAGACAGAAGCGAAGGTGGAGGGGAAGGTGGAGGCTGCGGGGAAGGTGGACGCCACCGGCAAGGTGGAGGCTGCGGGGAAGGTGGACGCCACTGGCAAGGTGGAGCTGGAGGAGGAGGAGGAGGGTCCGGGCCGCCGGGTTGAGCTCAAGCTGGAGCCCGAACCCGAGCCGGTACAGGAGGCAGAGCAGGAGCCAAAGGGGGAGCTGAAGCAGGAGCTGGAGGATGAGAACCCAGCGCGGAGCGTCGGTGGTGGCGGCGGCGGCAATAGCGACGAGGTTCCTGTCCCCACCCTTCCCTCTGAGCCCCCGCGGCCCCCTGATCCCTCTCCGAGGCGTAGTCGTGCCCCCCGCCGCAGACCCCGGCCGCGGCCTCAGACCCGACTCCGTACCCCACCGCAACCTAGGCCACGGCCCCCGCCCCGGCCCCGGCCCCGGCGCGGCCCTGGGGGGGGATGCCTGGATGTGGATTTTGCTGTGGGTCCACCAGGCTGTTCCCACGTGAACACCTTTAAGGTGGGAGAGAATTGGAGGCAGGAACTGCGGGTGATCTACCAGTGCTTCGTGTGGTGTAGAACCCCAGAGACCAGGAAAAGCAAGGCAAAGTCGTGTATCTGCCATGTGTGCGGTACCCACCTGAACAGACTCCACTCTTGCCTTTCCTGTGTCTTCTTTGGCTGCTTCACGGAGAGACACATTCATGAGCACGCTGAGACAAAACAGCACAACTTAGCTGTAGACCTTTACTATGGAGGTATCTACTGCTTTATGTGTAAGGACTATGTATATGACAAAGACATAGAGCAAATTGCCAAAGAAGAGCAAGGAGAAGCTTTGAAATTACAAGCCTCCACCTCAACTGAAGTTTCTCACCAGCAGTGTTCAGTGCCTGGCCTCGGTGAGAAATACCCAACCTGGGAGACAACCAAACCGGAGTTAGAACTGCTGGGGCACAACCCAAGGAGAAGAAGAATCACCTCCAGCTTTACCATTGGTTTAAGAGGACTAATCAATCTTGGTAACACGTGCTTTATGAACTGCATAGTCCAGGCCCTTACCCACACTCCGATCTTGAGAGATTTCTTCCTCTCTGACAGGCACAGATGTGAAATGCCAAGTCCGGAGTTGTGTCTGGTCTGTGAGATGTCTTCGCTTTTTCGGGAGTTGTATTCTGGAAACCCATCTCCTCATGTTCCCTATAAATTACTGCACCTGGTATGGATACATGCACGGCATTTAGCAGGGTACAGGCAACAGGATGCCCACGAGTTTCTCATTGCAGCATTAGATGTCCTGCACCGGCACTGCAAAGGTGATGATGCTGGCAAGGCAGCCAACAATCCCAACCACTGTAACTGCATCATAGACCAAATCTTCACAGGTGGCCTGCAGTCTGATGTCACCTGTCAAGCCTGCCATGGTGTTTCCACCACGATAGACCCATGCTGGGACATCAGTTTGGACTTGCCTGGTTCTTGCACCTCCTTCTGGCCCATGAGCCCAGGGAGGGAGAGCAGTGTGAATGGGGAAAGCCACATACCAGGAACCACCACACTCACGGACTGTTTGCGAAGGTTTACAAGGCCAGAGCACCTAGGAAGCAGTGCCAAAATCAAATGTGGTAGTTGCCAAAGCTACCAGGAATCTACCAAACAGCTCACAATGAATAAATTACCTGTTGTTGCCTGTTTTCATTTTAAACGGTTTGAACACTCGGCCAAACAGAGGCGCAAAATCACTACATACATATCCTTTCCTCTGGAGCTGGATATGACACCATTTATGGCCTCAAGTAAAGACAGCAGGATGAATGGACAGTTGCAGCTGCCAACCAGTAGTGGAAATGAGGAGAATAAGTATTCCTTGTTTGCTGTGGTTAATCACCAAGGAACCTTGGAGAGTGGCCACTATACCAGCTTCATCCGGCATCACAAGGACCAGTGGTTCAAGTGTGATGATGCTGTTATCACCAAGGCCAGTATTAAAGATGTTCTGGATAGTGAAGGGTATTTACTGTTCTATCACAAACAGGTCCTGGAACATGAATCAGAAAAAGTGAAAGAAATGAATACACAAGCCTACTGAAGTGACACACAGACCTACGTTTAATGGAAGATGATGACACCTATACTACTACTGGCATCAAGATTTAAAGGACCTACTTGCATGGCCCATGGGTCTGACAGAGTAAGAATTGAACAGTACCCAGTGTCTAAAAGGTCCTGATTAGAAGAGAAATAGGAGGGTTGGGAGAAGAGGCTCTAGTCTAAGCAGTTACTTAAAGGAAAATTAAATGGCAGGAATGTTCTGGTAAGGAAGGCAGGGAGATCCTGACACTGGTCCATATCCTATATTCCTCCAAAAGATTGTGTGGGAAAGTGTGGGGTGGGAGGGGGGTGGTGTTTGAGGGGGGGGTGTGCCCTTGTAACCATAAAACATCTTTCTCCATGGGTGTTTCAGCTTCAATTGACCAATCACATAACAGTTATATGTTTGAGGGGGAGAAGAAAAGTTTATACAAATGTAGCCCATTACATATATGGGTATGAAAGTAGAAAAGTGGAGGAGGCAGGGATATCTCATTGACAAACACCTTTGCCAGTTTTTTTGTATTTGTGATTTTTTTGTGTGCTATTAAATGCAGTATTAAAAAAAAGAGAAAAGCCCACAAGGGCTAGTGAAAAGAGAAGACAGAAGGGGGCTTGTATAAGGGGAGCAATGGCTCCAGTAGTAGAGAAGACCAGAAATACTGTAAGATAAGTAACCTACACAGAGAGGCCTCAGCTAAGAGTATTGTGTGTGAGTGTTTTTTTAAAAAGCTGTATGATATACTTGAGCAAATCAGTGAACCTCTTTGCGATTGTTTTCTCATCTGTACAATGCAGATAATTCCTACCTTAAAGGATTATTGTTAAAGATAAAATGATATAAAATGTGTCAAAGTATAAAGTAAAAGACTTGGAACTCTGTAGGGCCTCAGTAAACGTTTGTTGGATCTAAAACTTCTTTGGACTAGGACCAGAATACATCAGAGACCAGTGTCAGTCCTACCTGAGACCAGTGAACAGAATGGGCACACATGGTGTTACATGTAGTTACACATACTTACAACTCCTTCCACAACATTGCCTACTTGGACCCCCAAGGCAAAGGACTCCCTGTGTAGAGGGCATCGCAGTTAGTGCCACACCCAGGATTGGGAGAACCACAACTGTCCTAAAAAGTCATAATTCTGTCTATTTGGAAGACTTTCATGTTGTTTTCATGACTCATCACTCCAGTGATGGGACTCTTAGGGCCACTAGGCTTCCAGTCTTCTGCATAAAGGTGTTTGGTGGTTTTTGCCTTCCACAAGCATTATGGATGTATCTGTTACATTCACCTGCAAACATAGATCAGTAGAAAAGCTGTTTTCCAAAGCTCTCTGGCCCACTAGCCCAGGGATATTGATGGAGTGGCATGTGGCCTCTTTCCTGATTCTCACAGAGGACAGAGCAGCTTGCAGAGAGCTAAGCCAAAACAGATGGGCTGCACCCAGGTTGGGGTAAACATTGGTGGTTCCTTCTTTTCCTCTTAGCATGAGATATAGAAGTACCTATAATCTAGGAAATCCTGAGGGGGGACCTAAATGTGCATCAGACTCATGGGGCTTGGATCTACTGGCTCTGGTAAAAGGCTGGGCTTTTTCAGGACTTCCCAAGTCTACTTCATAGTCAACTAATTTGGAAATACATATTTAAGTGGTTGTGGGTATATCCGCAGCTAGCTCATAGGCTTTTTTAGGACAGTGGTTCTGTCTCCCCTTGTACCGTGAGCTGCATCCTTAGCCCCTAGCACAGTTCCTGACACATAGTAAGAAGATATTCTAAACATTTACTTGGTGAATGAATGAACCAATATACTTTCCTTTCATAACCAAATTTTCATTAAAACCCAGGGCCCATAATCCTCAGGAAAAAATGTAAAAAGTATTTTTGGTATCTTGTAGGATAGGGGAGACCAAGAGATGAGTGGCCTCTGATGCCACTTGGCAACTTCATGCCAGGTATTTGACTTGATTTTGGTATGTCTGGTAGCCCTGCCTAAGAAGACAGCAATTTCCCTCATTCTCATTCATTTCTGCCACAGAAATAGTTCAGTCACACATGTGCCACTAGATTCTAATTGCTTGCCCAGAAATGGTCTTTTACATTTTAAAAACATTTTTATTTGGAAATAATTTTAAACCTACAGGAAAGTTACAAAAATAAAAAAATAGCATAAAGAACACCTGTATCCCCTTTACCAGATTTACGTATTGCTAACATTTTATGTGTCATTTGCTTTATAGTTTGTACATATGTTCTCTCTTTCTCTCTCTCTCCTGTGTGTGCGTGTGTGTGTGTGTGTGTGTGTGTGTGTGTGTGTATTTGGACCATATGAGGGTAAATTACATCATAGCCTTTTATGCCTAAGTACTTCAGTGTGCATTTCCTAAGAATTGGCATATTTTCTACATTGCAGTGTAAACAACTTCAGTAAATTTAACAGTGATACAATACTTTTATCTAATTTACCATATATACTCCAATTTTGTCTGTTGAGACAATAATGTCCTTTATAGCCTTCTCGTCCATCATAGTATCTGGTCTAGGTTGAGGTATTTTTTTTAGTTATCATGTCTCTTTAGCATCCTTTAATCTGGAAAGTTTCCACAAACTTTTTTTAATCTTTTATGGCATTAGCATTTTTAACAGAACATTCCTCATTTTTGGTTTGTCTGATACAGAAGCTGTCTTTTAAATACCCTGCACTTGGGAGTATTTCTAAGAGTTATGAATGGTGCAAGACTGTTGAAGCTGACCTCCCCACCTCCATTGGTGGAAGGCACAGACCACCAGAGGGAGCAGCTGTCCCTGGCACTTCCTGGTTGAAGCATGTACCTCCTCTGGAAAAGACCATTATCCCTCAGTAACAAGGGAGCCATTCAAGCCCAGCCTTATTCCCCTACCTGTCACCAACCCCCCAGATTGAGGCATGGAATGTAAAAGCAGCCAGAGCCTGCTTTCTGATCACACCACTGTGGGACACAGGGCATTGTGTATTTAGCAGGTATGTGTTAACTTGAGCTCCAATGGAGATTCAGGCATGTTTGAGCATGTTTGGCACACGGGCAGGCACCTACATGGTTGGGGACTTTAGGGGGATTAAGAAATAACACTCTTGACACCTTTATCAACATTCCCATGGTGGGCACAGCTGCAGTGGGTTGGGGCAGGGTAGAGGTAAGTACTTCTTAAGCAGCTTTATGGGCAGAATACACAAAGATGGGATCTAGATTTAGTAAGGAAGAACATGGAAGATGCCCAGAACAGATTGTTTTGTGATCTACTAGGGGCCTTGAGACACAATTGGGCTATTTTACATGAGGGCTAGAATTCTGTGTGAAGTTCAGATATGTGCAAGAGATGGCATAATTTAAGCTAATTCTTTAACTCCATCTACTTCCACAAGCTGATAAGGCCAGGGAAACTCAGTTTACATGTAGGTTTATGATCTGGGCCCAGAAGGGCACAAGCAAAAGATGGGTACTTGTGAATTGAGGCCTTATCCACACATAGGGATCAGAATGAGGGACTGAACAATGGGATACTTCTCTTTCAACTGTGACATATGCTTCTTCCAATTTTTTATCCTAACCAGGTTGAAAATTCAGAACCCTACCACTTCCCATTTCTTGGAGTATCCAGATGCTGAAACTTACTCTGGCCCACAGTTCACATAGGGAACTGCGTCACTTCTTCCCCATCTATAGGGAATCCCGATTAGGGATGCTATCAACAAAGAGGTCTTTTTCAATCAAGAAAGAGAATGGCCCCCATACAATTCATATTGTTATAATGCAATAGACCTGGTATCAGGAACCTGTGTTTGTACCAAGTATGTATTTATACATGTACTCTCAGAGGACCTGAGAGTATAAAACTCAGAATCCACAGCAGTGTGTCATTTGTTAGATACTGACCTTCCTCTGCAGGTGACCCAATACCATCTTTAAATTCTTGTATTGAAATATATCAAATACACAAGAAATGCACATATCATAAGGGTACAACTTACAAATTTCTAGATGATAAACACTTCCCTGTAAACAATACCCAGATCAAGAAACAGAACATTACCCGCAAGTCAGGCCCTACCCCTGCTTCCTTCCAGTCAATAACCCCAAAGGGTAATTCTTATCCTGACTTCACCCACTGTAGATTAGCATTGCACTTTTTAATGTCTTCTATAAATAGACTTGTTCAGTATGTATACTTTTATGCCTAGAATCTTTTTCTCAACATTATTTAATGAGCTTCAGATATGAAGTATTATTGTCAAGAAAAATGAGGAGCATCACTATTTCTGCCCAATGAGTTAAAAGTAAGAATCTCTACTCTTCCCAGTGATTTCTCACATATTGAACCAATTAATTCAAAGGGACCCAGGCCATTGCAAAGTTGGACTTTGAGAGTGCCTATAATCTCACTCAGGTACAATAAAAAGATAGATGTTTGTTTTTAACAAACTGAGATACAGACAACAGTATGGTGATTACCAGAGGGAAAGGTGTATGGGGGCAGGTAGAAGAGAGTACAGGGATAAATAATGACAGAAAGAGACTTGACTTTGGATGGTGAACATACAGTACAATATATAGATGATGTATTATAGAATTGTATACTTGAAACCTATATAATTTTATTAAGCAATGTTATCCCAATACATTTAATTAAATAAAGAATTGACAAAACGAAAAAGAAAAGGGTAGATAGAAAAGAGCCTTCCAGATAAGCTTAGGATAATTTGAGTACCCAGAATGTCAGTTTTGGGCCTATTCTGTCTAATAATCTTGGACTCCAGCCCTGTTCCAACATCTCCTGAATGGGATACCCTATTCTAATAAATTCTCAAAATTGCATCAGAGTCACCTGGGTGGCTTGTTAACACACAGGTTGCTGGGTCCCACCTCCAGAATGTGATTTCAGTAGATCTGGGATAAGGGCTTGAGAATTTGCTTTTCTAACACATTCCTAGATGTTGATTGTGCTTCTGGTTCTGGGACCCTATTTTGAGAATCATTGATCTATTCAATTTGTTTTCACACCATGATACGTGGAGCCCAGGGAGTCCATGAAGATGCCCCAGGGAGCACCTTGGAGAGCACCTTGGGGAGCAAGGAGGAAGGTAAGTTAGTGAAGATCAGGAATTCTCATCCCCACTTCAATGGGAGCAGATCCTCTTATTTATTTTATATTTTGGGGTTCCAAATAATATTTGAAGAAATGGTTCTGCTACTAAAAATTTTAAAAGCTGAAAATCACTGTGCTA